TGGAATACTTCCTTGGCATATGTTAGCTATTCTCTGCTGTCCGTTCTTCATGGCTTAGCTCAGGGAAGTTTTCCCTGAAACCTGAATCTGTAGACAGTGAACTTCTAAATAACACGTGGAAGACATATCATCTCTTAAAATGGTTTATTTCAGGTGGTTAAGATGGTTACCTTCAACTTCTGTGAACTTACTTGTATTTTATAAGTCTCAAAATTGAAGCATTACTAAATCACTCAAAGATTGTTTTTAAGCTGAAATGTTTGCATAATAGCACAATAATACGTAATAGCTGCCAAAGTTTTCCATAGTGGTTGCACCTTTTAACAGTTCACCAACAGCATATGAGCGTTCCAGTTTCTCTGCATTCTCTCCAACACGTCTTATTGGCAGTCTTTTTAAGTTTAGCTATCCTAGTGGGTGTGAGGTATTATCTGATTGTGGTTTTAATATGTGTTTGCCTCATGACTAATGATGTTGAAGAGCTTCTCTTGTGCTTATTGCTCATTTGTATATCTTCTTTGTAGGAATATATGTTGAAATCTTCTACTCATTTTTAATTGGGTTATTGGTCCTTTTTTCTTTTATTGTTGAATTGTAGGAGTTTATATATTGTAGATATAAGCCCCTTATCAGATAAATGACTTGCAGATATTTTTTTCCCATTCCGTGGGTTATCTTTTTAACTTTCTTCATGGTGTCCTTTGCAGCACAAAATTTAAAAATTTTGATGATGTGCAATCTTTTTCTTTTGTTTCCTGTACTTTTGGCATTATGTCTAGGATGCCATGGTCAAAAAGATTTAAGCCCATGTCTTCTAAGAGTTTTATAGTTTCAGCTCTTACATTTAGGTCTTTGATCCATTTTGAATTAATATATATAAATTATATGGTGTGAGGGAGGGGTATAGCTTTAATCTTTTTTGTGTGGTTATCCAGTTGTCCCAGCACCATTCGTTGAAAAGAGTCTCCAAGTATTCTTTACCAGGGTGAATAGTGTTACTATTTAGCATATAAGACAAGCTAGAAATCTAGTTCATCATCATGTCCTGTCATTTTTACCTCTACTTCTACTATTTCTGCACCTCATCACCCTGTCCAAGCTACATTAGGCTGTTGTTTAGACTTATGTAATAGGTTCCAGACTGGTCATATTCTCACCACTTTTACTCTCCACTCCTTTTATTTTCCAACTTGTGGCCTTTATTTATTATTATTATTTTTCATACCACAGTTCAGGGCCTTCCTTTTGCTCTTAAGATCAATATAGAAATTCTACAGTATGGCCCATAGGACCCTGTAGGATCCCCACCCACTTCTTTAGCCTGTTTTTGCTTTGTATGTTGTCTTGATTTCTTCAATCCAGATACTTCTCAGAGGAGTGTTTCAATATGCTCCCCCCACCATAGCTACCAACGTGCCTGCATACTTGTGTTACTCTGCCTTCCCATCTGTAACTGAATGAACTGTTATCTAAGGCCAGCCCTATTCAGAATTGGCCAGATTCCACCCCTCTCATTTAGTCCAGAACATCGCTTTATCAGTTGTCCTGTCTCTCTTCTGTGTTGTTAGTTATCATTCTAATCAACATACAAACATGATGTTATTTCTTCTATCTTAAAAAAAAAAACCCAACTCTTGACCCTACATTTCATTCTGTCTATGATCCCATTTCCCTGCTCCTCTTTTGCATCAGAATGGGAATTACTTATACTTGGCTGTCTCTTAACTTCTCTCCTGCTGTTTCTGCTGAACCCACTCCTGATTTTTGGGTCCCACTATACTACACTGAACTGATTTATTTATCTCCTTGTCACCAAGTCCTGTGGTCAGTTCTCAGTTCTTATCTTAATTTTTCAGTAACATTTGGCCCAGCCCATTACACTGTCCTTTAAATACTTGCTTCTGTCTTGGTTCTCCTTTTACCTCACTGGTTGCTCCTTCTTGGTCTTTTCTCTTGGTCACTGCTCATCTTGGATTTCTGTCTGTTGGGAGGATGCCCTAGGGTCAGCCTGCAGACCTCTTCCCTTTCTTCTGTGCTGGTGTGTATGTTTATCCTCAGATTTAATACCATTTATATGCTCATGACGACATGTGCTTGCTTCAGCCTGGACCTCTCCTAGGTGCACATGTACCCACCTTCCTCCTGGACATTTCTACCTAGATGTCTAATAGCTGGTTCCCTTGCTTCTTTCAGGTCTCTGCCCAAATGTCACCTTACTGGAGAGGTCTTCCTTGTGGTGTCCACCAGCCCCCACCATATAAAATGAAGTAACTCCTCCTTTGCTTATTCTTCTTTTCTTAATTGTTTTCTAGAACATTTATCATGTATTATTTATGGTCTTTTGCTTCCTATTGGTATGTAGCTCCATGAGGATAGAGTTCTTACCTGTTTGGTCACTTTTCAAGAATAATAAGCATCGATTATGTGTCAAAGGACTGAGTGAGTGAGTGGATGAATGTTGGCCATCTTTAGTACTTCACTCGCCGTGCTCCCCCTTCCTCACACGTTCAGTTCCTTCTGTTCTTCCATCCCCTCCCTCAGGCAGCTTCTTGCCTCTCACTTCCATAAGCATCACTTCCTCATCAGACCTCTCCTGTCCTGATAGTAGTCTCTGATTGCAAGCGCCCTTAGCCGTGGACTCCTTCATAGTAGTGGTCATTATCAGTTTCCATTCATTTTTGCTATTCTTTGTTAATACCTGTCTTCTGTTTCCCTCCAGTTGCACTCCTTATTTTGCTCTCTGTTAAATTCTAAGGGCCTAGCACAGAGTCAGATTCTCAATAAATGGCAGGTGTTTGTTAAAAGAGTAAATGAATGAACAAATTAAAATATTCTTATGATTTATGTAACTAACGACCCATCTGAGTTGGTAAATCTCTGTAACATTTGCTTAAAAAGAAAATAGGATTAAAATTTAATGATTTCATAATTTTAAGTTGATATAGAGGCTAGTAAGCGTAAATACAGTTAACATCACTGCTTTTGGCCAAGAATTTACTGGGCTGTGGCCTCCCTCTGTTGTGGAAACTGGTCCTTATCGTGGCTGGCCATCCAGCCTCTGCCACCACCCACAGCATCTGGCACTCTTCATTCTAAGTCCTGAAGTTGGTCTGCTGTAAACTCACCCTTTGGATTTGGGGTTGCCCTCTTGCCCTTCATATATGTAGAGAGTTATCTTATCCTTTATTAAATGAAATATAGTCTCACTTCCTTCTGTTGAGATTTTTGAGCTCTTTTGGGCCCATGTAATGCTCCTGAGGGATTTTATGTAAAGTGTGTTCCAACATAGACCCTATTTATATACCAACTACTAAAGGGTAACTTTTAAAAAAAGACTTTTATGAGTAAGGCTCTTGAACCGGAGGTGGCAGTTTCCACCTCCATATTCCAATTCCATATATTAATGATATGTTTAATAGAAGTATGTTTAATAGAAGAATTACTAGCCTTAATAATTTATTGAGCTCATTATATTATTGAGTACGTGCTTATAAATATTAAATAGTTTTGGGAGAAAATAGCTATTTCAGTGTTTATTACTAGTGGGTCAAATTATGTATTAATGGATGTAATCCTCAAACAACTTTAGGCACTATCCTCATATTATATATGAAGAAATTAATGTACGTGAATCTTAGAAATAAAAGATTTTCTTAATCTCATTGTCACTGCAGGCAGTGTAAACATATTTGATCCTTCTTAATGATTTCAGAAGATAAAATAACCATGTCAAGAAAGGTAATCTGTTTCCAATTTCCTCAGAATTTTTGGTCACTAGTATCTTCTCATTAAAAGAAAAATACTTTATGCTCTTTTCTTTGAAATACTTAAATATTTAACAATGCCTTTGTAATAGATGAGATTAGAAAATGTGTATATGATTGTTCCAGAACTTGGATGCATTGGGAAACACTTTTTTTTTTTTCCATAGCTATTTACTGTTTTTTTTGGAGTAAGTACAAAGTTTTTTTTTTTTTAAATGGATACAGGTGTCTATAATAATACTTTAATAATGATAGAAACTTAAATTATTATTTTTTTGACCTTATTTGTTGTCTTAAAGAAGTGCTGCCTCAAAAACAATTTTTAGGGAAATATTTTATCCTAAATATGTTGATTATCCAAGGTTGAAAACATTTCACCTGAAAGCTTAAAGATGTGTATCTTGGCAATAAAATGATCACTTCACTTTCAGTATTTTTAAAATCAGTGCATGTGTGGCAGCTGAAATGTTTTCTTCTCTAAAGTTTCAGCGTGGAGCTTTTTCTCCCTTTCTCATACTTTTTCAAAACTTTTTGTCTATAAAGATTCAAGTCTGGATTGGGGATTTATTTCTAGAAATGTGTTAAACACTTTTCTGTAGACATTTGCTTATGAAGCTGCATCAAGTAGGTGCCATGGTTACTATCATCTTTGTGACTCACTCTGCTTGTTCACAACCCCTTCACTCACCTGTGTGTCCTCTGCTTGTCTGGTTTCTCTGCTTTCTGTTTCCCCTCGTTTGAGAATGGGTTTGTAATTCTGATGTTCTGTCATGGTGCTTCGGTAGAGTAGCCTGGTGTCCTTTCTGGATAGTTAAGAAATGAGCTGGTCAACAGGAGTAGTTAAAATGGAGCAAGCTTAGCTGTTCCTTGTCCCTCGTGTTAAACATAATGAGTTTAGAGGATTATGACTCCATGTAATCATTGGGATCTGCTAGACAGGACATCTGTTTTACTTTTTACTCATTACACTGGTGTAGAAATAGCATTTTTTTTTAATGTGAAAATTATTTTGTGTTCTAGCTAGCACTGGTGACTTAATTTTTGAAATGTGCTTTCTGGAATAGCACATAGTATAAAATTATCTTAATAGGACTGGATACTCATTATTAGTCTGAAAATATTTGTTTTCTAACTGTGAAAAAAGGTTTCTGGGAACGTTTGAATTTTCATTTATTCTAGACTGCATTAGAATTGTTTAGTATATTCAAATATTTTTCCTTTGGTTTTATTTCCTAGGTTGCACGTTTTCAAAAAATTCCTAATGCTGAAAATGAGACAATGATTCCTGTATTGACATCAAAAAAAGCAAGTGAATTACCAGTCAGTGAAGTTGCAAGCATTCTCCAAGTAAGTGCTTGGTGGGGAGGAAGGGAGTGGATAGTAGAATGAGTCGCTTAGACTCTATAGATAAGTGCTATCTGGTAGAATTTTCTGTGATGACAGAAATATTCTGTTCTGCACTGTCCAGTGCAGTAGCCACTAGTTAAACATGACAGTTGAGGATTTAAAGTACAGATAATTTAGGGGAGGAACTGAAATTAATTTAATTTAGTTTTTATTCATTGAAATTTAAATAGGTGCATGAGGCTAGTGGTTACCTGATTGGACAGTGCAACTCTAGATCATTAGTATTGCTAGGGACTATTTGTGCTTTGTGAGGATTAGTTGGATTAGGAAAATAATTTAATTATTAACATAAGTAGAGTTAGGAGTTTATCTTTTTTTTATGTGTTTTCTAATGTAAAAGCTAAGTGCAAGTTCAGAACTGCAAATAAACTTTGCTTATGTAATTTAATCTCTTCCTAGTTTTAAAAATCACAATCTAATGAAACATGAGGAAAAGAATATTTAAAATTCTTCCTTCAGAATTTACATATTTTAACAATGGCATTAAAAACATAGGTTATCCTTTTGTTGAGGTTTTTTTTGGGAGGCGAGTTGTATTTATACTCTGTTTTAAAACCACTTACTCTAAATATATTTGTGTCACAAGACTATTAGTGAACTCTATTATAAAGCTTTTGGCCAGAGAAACTTAATTATTTTAGAGATGCAAATAATTTATTCTTTAATGATAGTTAAAATAATAAATCACGAGAGGCAGTGACTGAAGAATGTAGGTGGTGTTCATAGGGCATAAAATGTCCCAAGAACCAGTTAATGTTAACTTCATTATTTTGAGTAATTTAGGAACCACAGATTTTCTGCTTGGAATAAATATACAGTCCAAGAGCAAAAGGTAACACCAATCTCAGAATTTTGATAGGCTCAGAGAACAAGAAAGATGCATGATCTTTTGGAGAAACTAATTTTAGAAAACAACAAGACAACAGTGAAAATGAAGAAAACTAGTTAAAATGTACTGGTATTTTGTTTTCTGTACATCCTGACTGGTTTGTGTTATTTCTCTTTCTCCAAAGAGAATCATAATTTTTTTGTTTGTTAAACTCTATCTTGTTGCTTACATTAAAAATTTTTTATTGAGGTATAATTTATATAAAATACAGTGTACTCATATTAAATGTACAGTTTGCATTTTGACAGATGTAACCACCACCACAATTAAGATGTAGAAAATTTTCATCACTCCGAAAAGCTTCCACATGTTTTTTGCAGCTAATCCCTCCCACTGCTCTGGCCCCAGGCAACCACTGATATGCTTTCTGTCCCCATAGATTGGTTTTGACTGTCATAGAAGTTCCTGTAAGTGTGATCATACGTATGTACTTTTTTTGTGTTTTCTTTTTTTTTTCTCTGCTAATATTCTCAATGACTTTTATGGGTAAAATCTCATAGGCTGATCTTCAGAATGGTCTAAACAAATGTGAAGTAAGTCATCGGAGAGCTTTCCATGGCTGGAATGAGTTTGATATCAGTGAAGATGAGCCACTATGGAAGAAGTATATTTCTCAGGTGAGATATTTTTATTTTCTCCTGCTGTGTAACTTACATGTATTTTTGTAAATGTAGTTGTTTACTTTTGTGAAGTTATTTATGGAGAAAGGAAATAATTTTTTTAAATGTTTTTTACCTAAATTTTTTCATTTGTTAGAGTTTATTGTTACATTGGAATTTCTATGATTTTAGTGTACAGATCTTTAAGGACATATTACATGGAGGTGATACTATTAACATTAGTTTCCTTTGCAGGTGTCTTAACTTAAATATTTTTTATTATAGAAATGCTAATTTTTTTAAAAGTAATATGGCTAGCTTAGAAAATTAGTAAAAGTTAGGTCATTTGGCTGCCTGGGTACAAGTTCCACCTTTATTTCTTACTAGCTCTGTGCTGTTTATTATCCTCTGAGCCTTATCTATAAAATGGGGATAATAATCTTAGGAGATAGTAAGCTATCAGTAGATTATAGCTATTTTTAATTATATTTTATTAATGTCCTAATCTTTTCAGAAAGATTTACTGTAGGATTTTTCTTATCTTTATGACAAGTGTATTAGTGAAAAGCTAAAAAACTCCTATGGGGCTTCCCTGGTGGCACAGTGGTTTAGAGTCCGCCTGCCGATGCAGGGGACACGGGTTCGTGCCCCGGTCCGGGAAGATCCCATATGCCGCGGAGTGGCTGGGCCCGTGAGCCATGGCCGCTGAGCTTGTGCGTCCGGAGCCTGTGCTCCGCAATGGGAAGAGGCCACAACAGTGAGAGGCCTGCGTACCAAAAAAAAAAAAAAAAACTCCTATGGCCAGTTTTCAAGTAGTAAGATTAGTTTGCCAAACAAATAAATTCTTTTTTTTTTTGGGGGGGGGGTACGCGGGCCTATCACTGTTGTGGCCTCTTCCCGTTGCGGAGCACAGGCTCAGCGGCCATGGCTCACGGGCCCAGCCACTCCGCGGCGGCCATGGCTCACGGGCCCAGCCACTCCGCGGCATGTGGGATCTTCCCGGACCGGGGCACGAACCCGTGTCCCCTGCATCGGCAGGCGGACTCTCTAAACCACTGCGCCACCAGGGAAGCCCCAAATAAATTCTTTTTAGTGAAGAAACTTTCTAATGCCTTCTAAGCTGCAGGTTCTTTTTAAAAAATATCTTCGTTTAACTTTTCTAAAGGGCCTTGCCTGTTAATGAACCAAAATTTATCATTTTTAACTTATTTAAATGAATTTGTCTAAAGTAGAAAAGCTGAATTTTTAGAGAAGAACCTTGTATCTGTCTTGTTTTTATTGGAATATTTTTTATATGTATATCTGTATTCTCACATTTACCACATTTCCACATTACCTAAAACTTCAGAAGTTTACTCTGGATTTATAAATTACAGTGATTTGACTTATCACTAGGCAGTATGATTTTTAATGTTTTGCTTTCTTGATCCTGTTTCAAAGCTAGAGTACCTGCATCATGAGATTGCTGTGAGAATGAAATGAAATAGTGCCTGTAATGTAGTTAGGTGCAAGCAGTAATTAACAGTAAATATCAGTTGTTAATCGTAAAGCCCTGGACCACTCCCCACTCCTCTACAGAGAACACTGAATTTGTTGTTCTGCAAACATTTGGAGCCTGCCATCTATTAGGTGGTTTCCTTAGTACCACGGCACAGCTGTTTTAGGGTGAAATAAAATGATCATGGGCCTTGCTCTCAAAGTGTGGTGATAGCAGCTAATGTTTGAGGGGTTTGTAGTTTACACAGTGATTTAATATACATTCTTGGTTAATGCTTACCACAGTTTTTAGTACAAGGTAGGGAAGCACCCCCAGGGCTTAAAAAATTAAGGTCACACAAAATTGGAGCTGGATTCAAACCCAGGCACTCTGGCTCAGTTTGTGTGTAGTTTGTCAACCCTGAACCACATTGCAGTTGTACTTTTATTTTGCTGGAGCAGTGATTTTCAATCCTCTGTGCATTAGAATCACTTGGGGAGTGCTTTTAAAATGCTGAAGCCTGGGCCCTGTGCCCGGAGATTCTGATTTGATTGCTCTGGTGTGAACCTGGGCATTTGTTGGAAACTCTTCACGTGATTCTGATGTGAAGCAGGGTTGCAACCGCTGTGCCAAGGAATGGAGCCATAAAGGGAGTGGGAGGTGGTGGCGTCTAACTTCACAGTTATGATATCCAGGGGCTGAGGCTATCTGCTGGGCTGGATTCTTTGCAAAGTTACTTTGCAACTTTGACGGCGACTGGCACCGTTTCATCAGAGGAAGGCATTCTGGCAGCAGAGCTCTGATGTTTAACTAGGATGTCCAACTGGAAGAATTTGGGGTGGCTCTGGTGCTTGGTCATTTAAGAGCTGCCTGATTGAGTTGGTGCTGTGGTTTGTTTCTTTAGATACTTTTGTCTCTGCTAGCTAGATGTCAGGAAAACCAGTGTTGGGGAAATCTTCAGCTTCTTCTGTGGTGAGGATCTTACTGTCTGCTCTTAGCTGCCCCGCCCCTCCCCTAGTGGGGGGTGGTTATTCCTGTGGTGGGTGGGTCAACCACAGAATTGTAATCTACACCCACTTACTTATAGTATAGGAATGCTGAGGAATGTTTGGAATTTATAATTTAGGTGTTCTACCCAGTGCTTAATGTAAACCTTTAGCTTAAAAGTTATTTTCCATTTATTCTAGCCCGGGTAGAAATTCAGAACAGCTTATAGTATACTAAAAATACATGTGTACTATAAGGAATTGGTAAATTCTTAGTTTTAAGTAATAATGCCCTGATAGTTGTTTTTTTTAGGCTTTTGCTGTGCTGGTACACAACTGTCTTTCATACAAAACTGTTGAATTGCTGTTTTTTTTTCACTTTCAGTTTAAAAATCCCCTTATTATGCTGCTTCTGGCTTCTGCAGTCATCAGTGTTTTAATGCATCAGTTTGATGATGCTGTCAGTATCACTGTGGTAAGAAAAAATATATCTTTTTAAAAATTGTTAATCATATAAATTAGGATTGGCTTTTATTTTAGAAAATGAATTGAGACATGTCTTAATGCTTCTTCAGGTTTTTTTGTTAAAATCCAAATTCTGGTTTTAGTTGCAGTGATCTCATGTAATGTTCAAGGGTCTGTGATTGGCACCCTAGAATTATTTAACAATCCGATAATTTCACAGATATGAAATATTTTATAATAATTTTCCAGTTAAATATTTTACTTTCCAATTGAGAATACGTTTGAGTAATCGTGAACTGAAGCCTGACATTTAAAAAATTAAAAGTATTATTTAACAGTGTACTCTGTATTTTATTCTTTCCAGTTAGGTTATTCTAGCTTTCATCTTTTTTTTTTTTTCTTGCCCTTCTGTTTCATTGTAGTATAAAAATTTATAGTAAGTATAAGCGTTGATTAAAGCAAGTGTGTTAGGCTTAAGAACACAGTAGAAATGAACGTAGAGCTGTGATTCACCAGCTCTTGCTTGTGGACTCCCAGGAGTCTCTGAGATTCTTTTAAGGGAGCATATGAGGTCAAAACTACTTTCATAAAACTAAAAACATTGTCTTTTTGCTATAGACATTTGCATCAGTGGCGCAAAAGTGATGGCGGGTAAAACTGTTAGAGCTTCGGCTTGAATCAAAATAATGGCAACAAACTGTCTAGTAGTCATTGTTTTCTTTCACTGTTTCTCTTAGCAGTATTTTTGATAAAACAGTAAAAATTAATTTTATTAAGCCTTGATCCTTAAATATATACCTTTTTAATGTTCTGTGTGATGAAATGGGAAGTACGCATTGAAGTATGCATGGTTGTTTCAAGGAAAGGCTGTGTGCTGAGCTGAACTAGCCTTTTACTCGAAAGAATGACTGATAGACAAACTATGGTTATTAAGACTTGGATAACTGGCATACTTTTTTTGAAAGTGAGTGGCATGAGCCTATCACTACAAGAAAAACAACTGACAGAATTTGTTGCCAATGGTAAAATTCAAGCTTTCAGTGATAATTAGAATTTTGCAAAAATTTTATGCATTATTTTATGCTGGACAGCTTCCCAGTATTTAAGACCTTATTCTAATAAGATCAGTAGTGATTTTAGTGGATGTGATTTTTTTTTTTAACTATTATGAAATGTGTCAACACTTGAAAGATTTGAATAACCAAGTGAATCAATCTTTTCTAAATGACCAGTGCATGATGATACAAAATGTTCGGTGACAAAAGAGCCATGAAACATGCAAAAGAGATCAGTAGATTTTAATATAATAGATTATGAAAAGTTCATTGATATAGTTTTAGGTTCTATATTGCAAATTACTTTTAAAGTAACAGTTGTCTAATTTTGGTGTAGCTAAGAATAATATCCACAATCATCTGAAAAGGCTTTTAAAATACTCCTCCCTTTTTTCAGCAATATCTGAATGAGGCTGAATTTTGTTCATATACTTCAGCCTAATCAACATATCAATAGATTGAATGCAGAAGCAGATACGAGAATCTGGCTTTGTATTAAAGCAGACATTAAAGATAGAAAAATTGAAAACACTGCCACTTTTCCCACAATTGTTTTGGGGGAATATTTTTCATAAAAAATGTTGTATGTTAACGTGTAATGGGCTTACTTTTTTTTAGATAATAAGTAGAAATTAAAACTGAGTGATTGAAAACGTATTTAATATGGTAAATCTCAATAGCTGGAAGTCACATAAACAAAAGCTGGTCCTCCGTTTGTAAGAGCATAAAGGGATTCTGAGATCAAAGAGTTTGAGAAGCCTTCCTGGGGAGGCAGGTCCCTGTCACCTATCCGATTTTCCCCACAGGCCTCAAGGCGGAGTTGTGATTCCTTCCCTGGCTGTTTTGTGCTTAGTGTCTGGTGTCTTGGGGCTGCAGATAGAGTCAGAAAAATAAGATATGATTAACAGTTATTACAATGTCTTATTTAAAAAGGTTGTTTGTTTTGTTTAGGCAATACTTATCGTCGTTACGGTCGCCTTTGTTCAGGTGAGTAAGTAGCCTATTTTGATGACATAAAAATGGTATTTTAGTTAATTGCTTAAAAAAATCAAGGTGGCTTATGTTAGTTAAAATGTATAGTTAATGGGTATGTTGGTCAGAACAATTTATTCTTTGTTTTTGAAATAATTTCAAAAACAATAATTCTGCAAGGAAGTTTGTGGAACCAACTTGACTGCTTTGGTTTAGGCAGTGGCATGAAGAAATCTAGTTTTTTATTTGATGATGTTAAAGATAACTGAAGCAGATGGAAGCACAAAGTACAGTAATAGAAATAAAATCCAGGAGTAGGCTTTTAAATTTTTTCCAGTTAAAAAATTGGGCCAGAGTTCAAATTGCTCATTCCTCAATGGAAGGGATGTTCTGATCTGGATTGAACTCCCTGTTCAGCATAGACATTGAAACAGTAAAGAAGATATATGAAAAGGAACCCCCTTTAAAAAATTAATGTGAATAATGTGAAGATAATGTCTGGATTTCTGTTGACCAGTATAGATATAAATAAAAACATGGGCTTAGTTTTATGTTTATTTAAATATCTGATAACTTCTTTAGGTTTTAGAACAGTGTTGGCAGGTGTCATTTGATTAGCTAAAAGTTTTAAAGCATGGTTAATAAGACTAGAAGAATTATTCTAGTTTAGGGAAAAATTAATATGGCATTTGAAATTCATGTTAATTTGAATCTTAAGACTATATTTTAAGTGGCTGTGGTTATTTCCACATCTATGATTTATTCCTTGGGTATTTCCTGTCATCATCCAGTTTTCCTGTGGTAATCTCTAATTTAGTAATTTGTTTTATAGTCACCCGGTGTAGAAAAGCCGGTTTTAATCAGGTTATCTGCAGCAAGTTTGTGAGTTGCATTAGTACACCATCAGGGATCCTGTATCTAGGGAATACTTTTGCTTAGAACAGATAAAAGTTGCCTTAGGGCAGGTGGCGGGTTAGTTTAGTAGAGGTTATTCCAGGCTGAGCCTCATTGGACACACCTATTCATTTGGTCATGTGGGTGGTACGCCGCACTGGACCAGTAACTGGAACCCTTTTGCATCTTTAATAATGCTACAGATGTATGGAGTGGCTTGCTTCAGAAGTATTCTTACAGTATTATCACTTTGTATGGAAGACATTAGTAGCTTGGTAATAGCCCCTACTCTCAGAAAAAATCCCACAAAATTTCTATTTTAACGTACTCAGTGTGGACTTTTACACAGAGATAGTGTGTTACACACCTTAAATGTAGTGGCTGAAACCATCTGCCAAATATCTTTATGATAGGTTCATTTGATAGGTTCATTATTTATATGTGTTTTTACCTGTGTTTTAGGAGGAGAATGCTTTTTATTATTTACATCTGCCTTCCCCCCTTTCTAATCTCAATTTCCCATCCTCATTGTACACCCTTGCAGTCATAAAAATAGCTAATTGTTTCGTATAGTCATATATTGATGCCACCTTACAATAAATTTAAAATTTAACTTTTAGGTGTTCATTTGAGATGCCTGTCAAGTTTGTGTTGAAGGATCATTTTGATATAGAGGTATCTTTGTAGTTGTAGTGAGTAAAGGCTAAGAAGTCTGAAGAGGGAGGTAAAGATTGGGCAGCTTCTATGTCATTTATTAGGATCTAGGAGTAATGAGTGTTTTCTAGCCTTTTATGGAATTTTTGGGTAAAACTTCCAAATTCCTTAATATCCTTGGTATGATTGGGGGAGGGGTGTCTTTGTAATTTTTTTTAAAAATTGAAGTATAGTTGAGATGCAGTATTGTTTCAGGTGCAGTATACAGTGATTTGATATTTGCATGCATTATGAAATGATCACCATAAGTCTAGTAACCGTCTGTCCCCATACAGAATTATTGTAATGTTCCTTATGCTGTATATTACCCTGGGTGTCTTGTGATTTTTATATTTACAGATTTACCTTACTCTCACATTTGTTCCTCTTGCTTAAGTAGTAAAGACAGATTTAGTTCTAAGTTATTCATATACAGCTTTGCATTTTCTATTTGAAAACGTTTGTGATGGGTATGCAGTTTTGATTAGTGCTAGCACTGCAGTCATTTCAAAACACCCCCCGACTTTCACTCCCACTACTCTCCCTACCCCTTCTTCTCCCTTTTTTTTGAGGTACGCGGGCCTCTCACTGTTGTGGCCTCTCCTGTTGCAGAGCGTAGGCTCAGCGGCCACGGCTCACGGGCCCAGCCGCTCCGCGGCATGTGGGATCTTCCTGGACCAGGGCACGAACCCGTGTCCCCTGCATCGGCAGGCGGACCCTCAACCACTGCGCCACCAGGGAAGCCCTCTTCTCCCTTTTTAACCTTAGATCAAAAGATTGGTGTACTTAGTGCAGACATGAGACAAAAATAGCAGTGATGTTGTGTGAAGCAAGACAGCCCACATTACTGAGGTGAAGGATGTCTCTGACTCTCAGCTGTGATTGTATGGTTGGAGGAAGGCTGGAGCCTCACAGTTAGGGCCCCTGAGAATTTCCCCTTCCAGGTAATTCAGTCATGGGAAAGGGTAGGGCAGCCACATCTCTCTCCTTGTTTAACTTACGTTCCTCCCAAGAAGATTTGTTTCACAAACCTTTACAGTTGCCTTGGGCTTGAATCCTCAACACCAGTGTTGTTTGCAGTTAATTGTCTTTGACTTCCTTGGTCATTAAACACTAAAAGTAAAGTTATCTTAATTATGAGGCTCAATGATCTTAACTTTTAATGACTGAAAACTCTACTTTTTGGACACACTAATCAGTTTTCTTCACTTTCTTATAAGTAACTTGACCTTAGGTTTGCACATTGAATATTGAAATATAAAATTGAGGGACTTCCCTGGTGGCCCAGTGGTTAAGACTCGCACTTGCAATGCAGGGGACGTGGGTTCGATCCCTGGTTGGGGAACTAAGATCCCACATACTGCGTGGTGTGCCAGCACCCCCCCCAAAAATATATATATATAAAAAATTGAGAATACTTAATTATCAAAAATTGGTTACTATATATTTAACATAAAGGACAAGCTTTTATGGGTAGGAATATAAATGCAAGTAAAGAGAAAGATAAAAATTGGGAGAAATGTTAAAATAATGATTGGGGTCAATATTTAGTTAAGTCTAACATAGTATATGTTCTTAAGACTGTACATATTTGCATTTCTTTATAAATACTTTTTCTTAATTTTTTTTTTTAATAGGAATATCGTTCAGAAAAATCTCTTGAAGAACTGAGTAAACTTATGCCACCAGAATGCCATTGGTATGATCCTTGTTTCTGATACGGATTTCTACTCTTAAAAGTAGAAATTAAATGTGACTATTACAGTGTACATTGTGGCCCAATATTTGTTTAAACATAAGGTAGAAACCATTAATCTGACATGAAAAATTCATGTCCTATTCAGTATAGCAAGTTGTACTATTAAAACTTTTGTTACTTCTAATTTTGAGATTCTTGAGACATGGATTTATTCAACAGATACTTTCTGTGTGTGACTATGTGCCAAGCACTGTTGTGGGTGTAGTGAGGTATAATCAGACCCTGGTGATTGAGAAGGTTGCTACAGTTTTCGCATTTTACATTTGAGCAACTGGATAGCTTTTCCAGTGCTTTGTTTGTTTTTTTTTTTAAATTCATCTGAGCATCTTAATTATCAAGAGCACAAGAGTAAGTCTTTTCTTGGTTTCTGTATTTGACTTATCTCCTTAGAAGTGGTGATAATGCAATATATTTTCCCTCAAGCAAGCCTACTGGAAGGAATTTCTTCAAATAAGTGGCCTGGCTTGCTTTCTTCCTCTGTGGTTGTTTCTGTTTCATGTTACAGTGTGCGTGAAGGAAAATTGGAACATACACTTGCACGAGACTTGGTTCCAGGTGATACAGTTTGCCTTTCTGTTGGGGACAGAGTTCCTGCTGACTTGCGCTTGTTTGAGGTGAGTTTGATGTCTTAGTCTGTTTGAGCAGCTGTAACAAAATAACACATAAATGTACGTCTCACAGTCCCGGTGGCTGGAAGTCCAGGATCAAGGCACCAGCATGGTCGCATCCTGGGGAGGACCCTTTTTCTGGTTCATAGCTGGTGCCTTCTTGCTATGTCCTCACATGGTAGAAGGGGCTAGAGAATATATCCAGACCAAACTCTTAATTCAAAAAGTTACATGCACCTCTATGTTGATAGCAGCACTATTTACAATAGCCAAGACATAGAAACAACCTAAATGTCCACTGACAGAGGAATGGCTAAAGAAGATGTGGTACATATATACAATGGAATATTACTCAGCCATAAGGAGAATGAAATAATGCCATTTGCAGCAATGGACCTAGAGATTATCATGCTAAGTGAGTAAGTCAGAAAGAAAAAGACAAATATCATATGATATTACTTATATGTGGGATCTAAAATAGGACACAAATGAACTTATCTACAAAACAGAAACAGACTCTCAGACATAGAGAAAAGGCTTGTGGTTGCCAAGGTGGGGGTGGGGGGTAGGGGAGGGATGGACTGGGAGTTTGGGGTTAGAAGACACAAACTATTATATATAGAATGGATAAACAACAGGGTCCTACTGTATAGCACAGAGAACTATATTCAGTATCCTGTAATAAACTATAATGGAAAACAATATGGAAAAATAATGTATATATATATGTATAACTGAATCACTTTGTTGTACAGCAGAAATTAACACAACATTGTAAATCAACTATACTTCAATAAAAATAAAAAAATTAAAGAATAGTAACAGATGTATAACTAATTTAATAAAGGAAACAACTTTTCTAATCTAAAAGAAGGCAAACAATAAGAAAAGAACAGAAATAGGAACATAGAATAAATAGATGGGTCAAATAGAGAACAAATAGTAGGAAGAGCTATAGAACCCCACTGTATTAGTGCTTATTTTAATTGTAAATGGATTAAATATTCACTTAAAACACTGAGATTATCAAAGTGATATAAAAAGCAAATGCAATTTAAAACAGTGACATATCTAAACATTTTTTTCCCCTTAAAATATATCTGTTTTTTCCATAGAGTCTTTTGAGGTATCCATGTAGTAAATCAGCAGATCTTTATGGAAATGAGTGTTAGGCATTGTGGGAGACACAAAGATGGTATGATAGAGCTCTTGCCCTCAGAGAGCAGACTGTTGGTGTACACAAATCACCATAAGATCAGATAGAACTGCGTAAGTGAAAGAGAACTACAAAGAATGGAGTAGAAAATTTAGAGAAGGGAGAGGTTACTTCTGATTTGAGTGAACTGAGCATGCCTCAGACAACATTGCTCTGGTGGTCATAAACGAAGGGTAGTACTGAACAGAGATGCAGCAGCAGCAGTATGTAGATCCCTGTGAGTGTTCTGGTATGTGATTAGAGCTGCAGTATGTTAAAGATAGAAAACATATGGTAGAATCAGGGGGCCTTGGATATGAAGCTCCACTGCAGATTTTATTGGTTGGGATTTAGCTTTGAAGGTCATACCTAGCTGGCAATGATGTTACGTTTAATCCTGCCACCGTGTGTAGAATATGTTGAAGGGATGGAGTAAGGCACCTAGTATCAGAAGCCCTCATAGCCCATGAGAATGCCAGTCTCATCTGTTATTGGAATTGACATGTACAGAGCTGTCATTCTTTGAATACCTAGTGTGTCCCAAAACATGAGCGTTCTCATGTGGAGGTTATGGAAAGCCTGAAGAACATTTGGAGTTATAAGTACAAGCTTCATTTAATCTTGAAATAAAGAAAGGTCTTTCTTCCAAATACTTAAAGTTTATCCTTAGAAAGATATCAGATTGCTTTAATTGTTGAGTGCAAATAACACAATACAGCAAGTATTGGGAATGTTAATTTTACTTTATTACCTTCTTTCTCCCCTTAGTAGGTCTTTTTGTATCTTTTTTACTCACTTCTTGTCCCTTCCTCCTATCCCTAATATTTGGTTAATGATAAGACCTTGAATTATTCTTCCTTAGAGATGTAGTAGGCCTGTCACTTGACATAAATCATCTTCCCCTCCCCCAAAGAACCCTAACTTGAATCCATGAAGTTTTTGTCACCATTTATTCTGGAGTGCTTCTCTTCTAATTCAGAAGCAGACCTCCTCAGTGGGATAGTTAGAAGATGATTTTCCCATTGTTTGAACAATTTGAGCAGTATAACGACACAGAAACTTTAAAACACCATTTGACTTAGTAAAGTATTTAAGGGTTTCATTTAAACAAGGGTTAATTGAGAATTATCTCAGATAATTAAAATTAATTTCTCATATAGAAAAATACTTGTCAGAATATGGATTAGTACATATTTTATCCATTCAGCAAATATATATCGAAGACTTACTCTGAGTTTAATGAGAGGGATTTTTGACATTTTAAAGCTTGATGCTGTAAAAATTAGAAGTGTATGCTTTGTGGAGTAATTGATTAGTTTTGATTGTTTTCCCCCTACTTGTTAACTTTTCAGACACTTCATCAGCACGTTTTATTTGGCAGTGCTGTGCTTAGGTTGATTTTATTCCAGTTAATCCACTTTACATATATAGTTGAACATCTTTAGTTTCTTCTGTCACTTCTCTCCCCTACCTGGTACCAGAGGCATGTTTTTGCAACTACTTTGATAGTAGATTGAGACAACAACATTCCTGAAAGAATTGAGCCTTTCCTGCTGCTTCTAGATTTAAATGTACTGACCGAAGACATAAGAAAGCTGATGAGGTGAAATTCTCTTCTGGACACAGGTTACTAACTTTTTGTAATTAAATTGGCTTATTGGAGTGTTGTTTGCTGAATTTGGTTGTGGTGAATGATTATGTAAGGCTAGCTGGTTATTTGATGTTCCTACATGAAACAAGCTCTTTGTTAGAGTATAAAGGAATCAAGACTCCTCAGTTATCCTTGGGATATTATTAATTTTTCACAAATAAAGCATATGGATTTCACTTTGGAAAAAGTAAGCATAGGACTTTTGCAATATAGTTCTTTTCGTGTGGACATGGCCCGTGGCCAAGGTTGTCACTTCAGCATTGTCATTGCTGCAACTCTAGGGTTCCTGTCATAATTTCAGTGGTTCAGACTTTGGCTGTAATTCTTGCGTGGGCCTGTAGTAGCATCTTGTCAGCAAGTTCAGTGACTCACTGCTATATAACTTTTATCTGGTATTTTCTGGCTGTGTCTTAAGTCAATTCAGGCTGCTGTGATAAAATACAATAGACTGGGTGGCTTAAACAACAGATGTTTATATCTTATGGTTCTGGGTGCTGGGAAGTCCACAGTCAGGGTCTGGCAGAATTGGGTTGTTGGTGAGGGCGCTCTTTTGTCTTGCAGTCTTTTTGCTATGTCTTCATATGGTAGAGAGAGTGATCCCTCTTCCTCTTACAAAGCCACTGATCCCATTATGTGGGCCTCATCCACATTACCTTCTTTAACTCTGATTACCTCCCAAGACCCTATCTCCAGTTATCATCAAATTACATTGGAGTTTAGGGCTTCAGCATGAATTTTGGGGGGACAGAATTCAGTCCATAGCAGGCTGAGTCTGTCTTTTGTAAAACCCTTTTTAAAGAAGATTAATATTGATAACTTAAGGATTTCTGTATTTGGTTTTCTTGCCTGAGTCAGTTTTCCATGGCCAAGGAATGAGCGAATATGTGTTGGTGGCAGTAACCTTACCAGCATAGGAACCTTAGAATTATTTGTGGAGCTGGGATAGTAAAACTTAGAAGAATGGAGCTATGGGCATGTTCTCCAGTTTTTTCCCTTAGGATTTTTATTTTAATTTTTTAGTAGTAGTTCAGAAGAGATACCTCTGGCTAGTTAATTGGGGGCAGCCAAGGGATTGGTCAGACAGTGACTTTAGATGAAGCAATATTATAGACTATACATATCTACATAACAGTACATTTTGCCTTTTTGGAAACATAACATATTTTCCATAATGTTCCAGGTAAAGTCTGTATCAAAATTTGAACAAAGAATTCTTTGTAAGAGAAAACAATGTAAGAGTCAGAGGAAAATTTCTTTTGGCTGTTGAAAATATTTTACCTCTTAGCTACAAGTTTTTAACTAAACACAAAATATTGCCTGAAATGTACCAAGATTTTCCTTCACTTGGAGTACTGAATGATTAATTCTATTGATACTTTCTTTTGTGGCTCATGTGTTAGTGTTATTAGCCCATATCATTCTTTGAAACTGTCTTCAAGATCTACACACAGGGTACAGTTGCCACTTTTTTTTTCAAACCCAATTTTTGTTTAAATGGGAATGTCTTAATTTTTCATTTTTGAAAGATAGTTTTGCTCGATATAGAATTCTCTTTGATTTTTTTTTAAGCACTTTAAATATGTTATTCTACTGCTTCTAGCTGCCATGGTTTCTGATAAGAAATGGGATGCTAATCTTATTGAGAATCCCTTGTACATGATAAGTTGCTTTGCTCTTGCTGTTTTCAAGATTCTGTCTTTGTCTTTCAGCAGTTTGGTTATAATTTCTCTCAGTGTAGATGTTTATGAGTTTATCCTGTTTGGAGTGTATTTGTCTTCTTTGATGTATAGATTCCTGTCTTTCATTAAATTTGGGAAGTTTTCATCCAATATTTCTTCAAATATTCTTTCTGCCCATTTCTAGTTTTTTTTTCTTCTAGGACTCTTATAATGCTTAAATTGGTATGCATTTTACACTTTGTCTTCCCTGGTATATGTGGTAGCCCTTCCAAGCCTTTATTTCTTCAAAGAACTTCCACCTTAGTCTCTTCCTTTTCAGTCTTTTGGTTGTGTCTGCTGCGTGCCCTGTTCTGTGCTTTGCCTGCTAGTATATGTCTTTAATCTTTTGGCAGATACCTAGAAAGCTACTCTAGCTGGAGTCGGGATGTGAATTAAAGGTCAGCCTCTGCACCAGTCCTTCAGAGAACTGCCAGACAGGTCA